GAATGATGATGGCAACAAATGTACAAATGTGCTTGACACAATGGATGGATGGATTGATTGTGATAAGAGTTGTACGAGCCCCCAATAAAATGATTTTTTAAAAGACCTCTTTTAAAAGTATTAATAAGCAAAAATGTTAAATCTGTCTCGAAAGAAGTACAATGAGAATGCTCCGTCAGAGGATGGCAAGGCTTCATCGCATGCGCTTAAGAAGTGTGAGCAGGAGGGACTAGACACTGGAGAAGGACATTATGCTTAGTAGAGGTTTCGAATAAGAGAGGAAGACCCTTACTTAACAAGCTATATTGACACAGTAGCTGGGACAATGTGCTCAAACAATTGTGAAGACGGTGTGGGCCTGTGTGGTATTTCATTATTCTGTACATGGGGTGGCTATGAAGGAGAATTGACTCAATGGCATTTATCAACAATGAGATTTTCATAAACCAACATCATAATCCAAATCTAGGGTCACCCATATCCAGTAAGTGAAGTGAATGCTAAAATGACCCTGTAGGTTTCACGCACTCAGCTACCAAAGGTAGAGCAGCAAGGTCAAGCACAAAATCACAGTAAAAAGACATAAGGCAAAAGAAAAAAGTTAGTGGAGTTCCTCAGAGACTGGCATCCTTCCATTCCATCTTCCAGGTAAGAGACAAGAATTTCTTGTGTGCATTCACCTTTTAAAAATGAGAATCACATTAAGCATTCTTTTGGGACCTGTGCAGAAGCCCATTTTATGTTCTAAAGATATACGAGAACCAAGAAACAAACTCACTAACATAAAGTCGATTCTGACTCATAGCAACCCTATAGAACAGCAGAGAACTGCCTTGTGGGTTTCCAATACTGTAACTCTTTACAGAGTTACAGCCTTTTTAACTCTTTACAGCCTCATCTTTCTCCCGAGGAGTGACTGGTGGTTTTGAACTGCTGACTTTGTGGTTGGTAGGCCAAAGTATAACTACTACATCACCAGGGCTTCAAAAAATTCAAAGAAAAATTGAATAATATGATAATGGAATTTTCCCATAAAGTTTTTGGAACCCCTCATATTTGGAACTTCCAAAAGTGAGAGAGCACTTTTTTTCACATAGAGGGAACAACACACACACAATCTGGGGGGGAAAGGATCATGAGTAAATTGCACCAACAAATATTTAGCAAGTGCATGGGTCTTAAGACTGAGAAGGCCCTGTCACAGAGCTCCTGTAACTGAGCTTTCTGTAAGCAACACAGAGAGGCAATTGCAGTCTTCCTGAAAAATAAGCAATTAATCACACACTGCTTTGGATTAATTACAATGCTAGAGTCCTCCACATCATTCTGCTTTTGCTCCTGAAACCAAACTCCCCAGGGTCCTCCCTGGTTTCTCAGATAACTGATCCATGGCCCCACCAAGCTTTCCTTTTGACCGAAGCTAGTCCATGACTAGAGAGAACTAGAAGTCTCCACACATCTCCCTCCAGTGCAATGTGTGACCTTCAGTATGCTGTATGTGTCAAGGTCACTCTGCCCACAAACCATACCTCCTTTGCCCACAAAGCAAGCCTCCCCTTGTGTCCTGCGCTCGTAAGCAATGCAGAACCTCCCATCCCTGGCAGACCACTGCAACTGGATCTGACAGCACATTCAACAGCTAGCTCAATTTCGGCCTCTCCTGCCTTCACACAGAGTGCTATGGGGTTGTACAGAAAATAAGCAAGAAAAGCACAGCCTACGCTGTCAAATCCCAACCTGAATTTTAAACTCAGCCCTGAGGACGAAGCCAAAAAGGGCCCTTTCCATATAAAACCCTCTGCTAAGTTCAATTACAGGCCCAATCCCTAGTTCATGTTGAGTGCCCAACTGTATAAAACAGCCTGAAATCTTTTCAGGAACATCACTGTCAAGATAGCACCTATGAGAAGACACCATCCAGGAACCAGCAGCTCATCTTTCAGTGTCAATATCTAAGCGACAAGCACAACATACAGGGAACGAATGTGGTCAAGGAGAAAACCGAATTCCGCTTGTCTCCTAAGCGTGCAGCACTTATCACCCAGCATTACCCACGAGCCTCAACATGAGCAAAGCAGGGCAGCTGGGACCGTGGCACAGCCTGTCCAAGACCTTACCGTGTCAGGGGACCTAAGGGAGACACTGAGCCACCATATGTACAGAGGTTGCTGCATTTCGGAGAAATTCCTGGAGGTTGGAAGCCAGGACCCTCCAATCTCAAGCACTGCGCTGAGGCACTAACGTTCTTGAGCAGATCTTATTAAGATTGTTTTAAGACCTAGGTTGAGTTGCTTGTGGGGTTTTATCGTACTTGTACTTGTTAGTCTTCTGGTTTAGTTTGGGTCTTGGTTTGGGTTTTTTCCCTGGTAGGAAGTCTGATTCCTGTGAATCAATGACTGCTACATCACACTCCCTCCTGGTGGCTCATGGTAACGGGGCTTTCTCTGACCGCGGGGACTCTGCTGGCTCAGAGAGCTCGGCCACTGGCTCCCAGATTTTGCAGTACACATCAAGAGGAGCTGAGCACCATCTCACCGCCACTTGCAGCTCAGTGAAATCCAATGGGAAATCGTGCGCGGTACAAGATGTGGCTTTTAGAATTCTTGCGATGTAGCAAAGACAGCAGCCCCCTCACCCCCTCCCACCCACCTGAGAGATAGCTACATCCATGGCTGGCTTGGCTGAGAGCTTGTCTTAAATCCTGCACAATGCTCCTTCTGCCAAGCATCTGCAACCACTAGCTAGCTCCTACCTGTCCTCCCCTCAAAAGAAGACCAAAGACTGAAAAAACTAACCCAAAGTATCCACTGACAAATTATGGTGCTACTGGCAGGGGCAGGACCACAAAACACTGCAAAATGAAGAGAGTGCTGGTCTACCCCAGCAAAGCCAGCACAGCAAACTGCTTCCCAAATGCAGGGTGAGGAGCAGCCTCCCTCTAAGGCACCCCCTCCCACCGCGCAGCACCCACCCCCACCCGCTTGGGTTGCCTTGCCTTGCCCCCGGGCAGGTCCCTGGGAAAGTCAAATCACCACTTACTCAGATCTACCAAGAATCTCCAGTGCCTTGCTATACGAAAACCCCACAAATGGTAGCTCTTCGCCGGAGAAACCTGAGGGGTTCAGCTGGCACAGAGAGGATGAAATCCCCGAATTCTTCTCTGGTTCATCAAAATTGGAGGTGTCATCATCAGACTTGAGGGTGGGAACGAAGGGGGGAGGAGCTGGTTAAAGAAAAACAAGAAAGGTGGGGGGAGAACGTTGAGAGGAATTCAACACTGTTGCAGAGAAAAGCAGTGTCTTACTCCTGAGGCGTTCTCGGGGGCACTGCAGCGCCCGCTCTCAATCTCCTCCCGGCTCCGGCAGCAACAAGAGCTTAACCCCTTCTCTGCCAACATGGCCACCAACCCGCAGACTGGCTGCCTTTCCTGCTGGGCGAAATTCAAGGATCAACTCAAACAGGTCACTTGATTGACTGGGAGAGAGCACGTAGCAAACTCCCGGGGGCCAGCCGCTGCTCGCTGCCGTCCCCACAGGGCTTCTACGGAGCGTCGGCGGGCAGTGGACTCGCTGCCTGATGCTCCAGTCCTCTCTTCGTCAGGTCTACAGAATTAATAGTTAGTGCTAATCACGGAAATCTGACGGGCTTGGGCGGTTGCGTGGCCTCGCCGAGGCGGTGGGGCGCCGAGAGAAACAGGATGGAGCGTGGATTTGCAGGGTGCAGTAACTCACATTTGGGTAGCACTGCAGACCAGCTCAGTCCTATCCCGGCGAGTCTACCCAGAGACCCCACTGGCCACTTTCTGTAGTTCCTGATCCACCCCCTCCCCAGCTCGGGCAGGCACGAACTGCAGTTGGATTAGCAGAATGAAACACCAGCCACATAAAGTTCCTCCCGGTGATTCACAGAAACCCCCAGGCGCCGGGGGCCCGTCTGCGGCACAATCCCTACCTCCTCATACAGCATGCTTGCCCCGCGGGGAGCATCTTACATCGTTGCTGCTTCCTTTCCACCTACTACGCTCTCTTGGTCAGGGAGGTGGGCGCCCATCCATCAGTCACCAGGAGGCTGCCCACTGTGGTGGGCTCCCGGGGCTGCAGCCGGCCAGCGCGGTTACCATGGCTGCGGGCTTCGGCTTCGGTGGCTGGCCCGCCAGGCTGGGCGCGCAGCATCACATCCCCTGCAGTGCAGGCTACGGGCTCCCTCTCCGTGCGTGCTCTGGCTGTAACCCCACCTGGCCGCCCTGAGAGCCAGGGGCCAATGCTGATCTGAGTGACAGAGCATGAGTCACCGCTGGGGCTCAAGCTCGCTAGAGCTCCCCCTAGGACCGTTGTCACAGCCCTTCATAGCCCAGACTCCCTTCTTTAACTCCTCCTGCTCTGGACAGAGCAGTGTGCCAGATATGAGCAGCAGTCTGTTTCCTGCTTACAGACTCAAAAAATCTGGCTGTTTCAAAAAGTTCCCTGATGACAACACCATCTGAGCATGTTAACTGGAGATGCGGAGGGGGCAGGGGTGGGCTGCTTCCACGAAGCGAAGCGTAAGAAAAAGAGCATTCTCGGAGAGGCCATGTACTGGGCTAAGGTAAGAATGAGGAAGATTGAAGATGTAAAATGTGTGCTATTAAACACAGTCGTGCTCACTTAAGAGAACTGAAATCCTCACTGTGGTATCAGAATCGACTTGTTTCATGCTTTAACAGCTAGCTGACGAAAGAATAAAATTGGCTCTAATGCTTCAGTCTACATACAGTCTACATAGGCTCAAAGCCAATCTGATTTCAAGTACCCGGCACCTTTTTATAAACTTAGAAAGAAAAAAAGTTAAGGACACGACCTTTCCTAAGGATCAAAAAGAGACATTTCCATCCTCAAATAAGGAATCTTAGATGAAAACTGCTGAGCTTTATGGAGAGGGTGGTTAATAGCTCAAGCTCTGGATTCCATCTGTGAGGGTTCAAATCCCAGTCCCACCATTTACTGTACTAGCTTCTGTGGGCTTGGAAGAGTCACCTAACCTCTGTGAGCCTCAGATTACTGATAGTAACTACCTGAAAGGGCTGCTGGAAGGTTTAAACAAACCAATCTATCTTAAGTGCTTAGTACAGGTCTTAGTGTACAGTAAGTCTCTAGAAAGGGTACTTGTTTCTATTATTGTTCACAGTTAAGGCGTGTTTTAGAAAAATCTTGATTTACTGAAAGCTAGTTAGATACAAGAGGCTTTACCGCAGAGTCTGTGTGGAGTGTTCCTCTTCCCTGCACTTCCCTGCACAAGGCAGACACACCCGTGTGGATGTTTGTGTTAATCATATCATTTCATTCCTAGCAGAACTTTAATTCCTCTTCCACTATATACTAATTTATCTTTAGGTGCCTAAAATAGAATCCCATTCTGAATAAGGAGCATGATTAATATAGGGGTAGGATCCACCATGAGAGAAATAATTATAATTTAGAAATTCTGTACTATAAAATAAGATTAGTCTACAAAACTGTCATGTTCAAAGCTAGCTTAATGTGCTTGCATTTAGGAAAAAGAGCTAGATAATTTTCAGGATCAGAGGGAAGAAGAGTCAAATTGAAATACAGATGTTATATTCATAAAGCAGATTAAACACTACAGATGTCAACCTCTACACATGGAATCAATTAAAAACAATAGGAAATCCTCAAAAGAAATGTTCCTAAAGGCCACATTCAGGCTGGGAGAAGGGTCAGAGCCTCAAACCAAAGGGCAGTCAAGAAGTATAAAAGCCCCTTCCAGGAATTAACAAGAACCTCTAGCACTGGGCAGCTTGCCCCCTTTTTTAATTAATTAATTAATTAGTGTATTAATTAATGTATTATTAATCATTTTATTGGGAGGCTCTTATAGACCTTATAACAATCCATAATTCAATTGTATCAAGCATATTTGTCCATATGTTTCCATCACCATTTCAAAAACATTTTTTTCTACTTGAGCCCTTGGTATCAGCTCCTCTTTCTTCCCCTCCCACTCTCGTGAATCCTTGGTCAATTATATATTATTATTGCTTTTTCATATCTTATACTGTCTGTTGTCTCCCTTCACCCACATTTCTATTATTCGTTCCCCTCAGGTAGAGGGGTGTTATATATCCAATCTTGTGATCAGTTCCCCCTTCCTTCCCCTCCTCACCTCCCCCTACACTACTCCCACTACTGTTCCTGAGGGGTATATCTGTCCTGGATTCCATGTGTTGAGAGCTCTTATCTATACCAATGTATGTACTCCGGTCTAGCCAGGTTTGCAAGGTAGAACTGGGTCATGATGGGGGGTGGGCACACATACAGGAACTGGAGGAATGTTGTGTGTTTCATCGGTGCTATACTGCACCTTGGCTAAATCATCCCTTCCTTGTGACCCTTCTGGGAGGCAATGTCCAATTGTATACAGAAGGGCTTTCGGTCTTTATTCCGACTCCACCTTGTTCACATCGATATAATTATTTGTTTTGGATCTTCTAATATCTGATCCCGTCAACACCTCTCGATCACACAGGCTTGTGTGCTTCTTCCATGTGTGGCCTTGTTGCTTCCCTACTAGATGGCTGGCTGATAGTTTAACTTCAAGCCTTTAAGACCCCACGTGCTTTATCTTTTGATAGCCGTGCTGGCCCCTTTAAACCAAACCAAGCCCACCACTGTGGAGTCAATTCAGACTCGTAGCAGATCCTATAGGACAGAGGAAAAACTTCCCCATAGCATTCCCAAGGTCGTAATCTTTACGGAAGCAGATGGCTATATCTGTGTCCTGTGGAGCTGGTGGGTTCGAGCCCAGAACTTCAGGTCAGCAGTCAAACACTTAACCACTGCACCACCAGAAAGAACCCTTTAGCAGTAAGAAATAAAGAGAAACACGACCAAGAGGTATGGGGTCTACATTGATCATGTGCTGCATCAGTTTGGTTTGGGGAACATGGTGTAAAAATTCTAAGCCAAGAAATTAACAAAAATGCTCATCTAGAACCATACACTCTCAGGTCACTAAGATACAGTAGTAGAAAACAATTTGTAGGCATCATTTTTTTATATAACTTTATATTTTATTTTTTCATATTTCCCAGTAGTTTTTTTTAATTGGGGCTCATACAACTCATCACAATCCATACATACATCAATTGTGTAAAGCACACTTATATATTTGTTGCCCTCATCATCCTCAAAAT